TGCTCCCCGTCCCTGCTGCAGGGTGCTCTGAGCTCAGCCCCTCCAGCCCAGCCACCTGGGGCCTCTGCCACCGGGGCTTTGCCACGCAGCAGAAGGAGCTGGGGGGGGGCAGAGCGATCGCAGGGGAAGGTTGAGGAGCCCTCAGCCCCCCACCAGCCCCCATGCCACAGGCAGAGCCTCTACAGCACTGTCCTTTATTTCCAAAGGACCCTCTTGTCCTGTCAGCACCCTAGTGAGGTAGGTCAGTGTTAGGTCTGGGAGGGGATTTAGTCCCATTTTGCAAGAAATTTAAGTCACATGGAGTTGCTCAAGGTCCCGGTGTGGCAACAGCCAGGCTGGGAGGTGAGGTCGGGGCTTTCACATCCCTCCCTGCCCCATGTCCTGGTCTGAAGGAGGGTGCCCCATGCTTCCCCACCCCAGTATCGTCTGCCCAGATGCATCCCTGATGGTCCCAGCACACACCAGCCCTGTGCTACGTGTTGAACCAGCTCTCCAGGTTGGGATAGACATGGCCACGGGGCAGACTGGGGTAGGCGGTGCAGATGGTGCAGATCCGCTCCCTCCAGTCGTCATAGAGCTTCACACTGTACCTCTTCTGCCAGGCGAAGAACTGCTGGTAGCGGCTGGAGTTCATGGTCTTCAGGAAGGTGGCCAGCTCTGCCAGGGAACCAAAATCATCAACGTGAATGAAGGAATCTGCAGGAACGAACTGCTCGTAGTTGGCCCGGGGAGGCCCCAGCACCACGGGCACAGTGCCGGCCATCAGTGAGTTCCTCCAGAGCTTCTCAGTGATGTAGTCCTGGTGGATGGAGTTCTCAAAGGCCAGGTAGAACTTGGACTTGGACGTCGTTGGCAAGAGGCAGTCCTTGCAGAGTGGCTTTTTGTTTGCTTTGCCATATATGTTCACATGGAGGTACCTGGAGAGGTTTTTGTAGACTTCAGCTCTTTTCTGAGTCCTGCGGTAGTTGCTGATAACCCAGGACACCAAGTTGGTCTTCACAGGGATGTTCACGGTAGCTGACCGGTTGGGCACAAGCTTGCCGTAGGGGATGAAGATGTCAGAGTCCCGTCTGTAGGTCATCACCCAGTTGAAGGTCTGGTTCCATCTTGCTAGAGCTTTAGTGTTGGAGGGGGACTCCAGGGAGACCCACACCCAGTTCTGCCCCGGCGGCCTTTCCTTGGGCAGCCTGTCCCTGCCGGACTGGAGCCTGGCGTGGGGGAACACCACCACGTCCGCCTGGCTCAGGAACTGCTGCTCTGTGGTGAGCCTGCAGCCTGAGATGCCATACAGCTCGTGGCAAACGTCCCCGCTGATGTTGGGGACCTGCTTCGAGGGCCATTCCCACACCAGGACCACCAGTGGCTCAGTGTGCTTGGGGGCTTCTCTGGAGACCTCAGACGGGTTGAGGAAGCACCTCAGGTTCCAGAGGGTGGTTGCAAACACCCCGGCTGCGACCACCACCTTCATGCCGGGCAGCCGTGGCAGTGACGATGCCTGGGGCATTGCTGCTGGGCTGGCTGTCACTTTCTCGGGTGACAGAGCTGACACCTGGGAGAGAGGAGAGGCCACCAAGGGCCATCAGCTCAGCTTGCCGGGAGAGAGGGGTGGTGGGGAGGTGCTGGGGCTAGAGGGGATGGAGACAGGCCTTCCCTGTGAAACCTGGGACCCAGCATCACCCCTGGCCCCTCTGCTGGCCCCCGTACCCCCCAGGATCCCCAGTGTATCTGGTGTCACCCCACGTTGGCTTTTGTGCCCCCCTCCTGCAAGTCCCCGGTGTCCCCATCTCCTGCCGGGGGGGTGGGCACGGAGCCGATGGGCAGCAGCCACCTGTCCCCCCACCCCAACTGCCTCACGCCGCTCCCTGGCACATGCACGAGGGATGTGGTCCTGTGATACTTGCTCCATGCCTCAGTTTCCCCACCTGACAAACAGCCACCCTTCTTGCTTTGCCCGGGGCAGGTGAAGCCTGAATGGCAGGCA